TAGAAAAAACATGGAGAATACCTTCAGCGTTTCCTGGAGGTAGCGTGTTGAATTCCCATTGGCATATGCTGTTTGTACCACTGCCATCTTGAAGTCCTGTTTCACCTGAGCAAACAAACCAAGAAGCCAAGTTTTACTGTCCAATAGGCACATAGCCCAACAAAATGGATAAATGGAAAGATAATCAGAACTTTTAAATGTACAGTTAAAACTCCTGGGTACTAGAGGGAGGCACAACATGAATTCTGTTCAAGTATTTGTACATTCCATATTGATTTTTCCTGGGTCTGGCTGAAGCAGCTCTTCAAGCTTAGACTTTCTAAACTCCTTTTTTTGCCACAGCAGTGATGTACAGGACTGATCTCTTTTTAAAGTGGTTCACTTTAGGTAGATGTAGAGAGACCACATACCAAGCAACACAGCTTCCTTAGACTATTTTATACTTAAAAAATTAGAATGCCAGCATCCATTTCGCATGTTACCTTGGCAAGAAGTTCTTTTAGGAAGATACTAATTAAAGTTGCTATTTTATCTCCATCGATGAGGTGAAAATGGCCAGCTGTGTCCTTATAATAATAAACAATTCTATCTGCGTCACCATCAAATGAGCAGCATCTCTCATTGGGCTTCATGTCCAGCCCTAGTGCACAGAGTTACAAATGCAAGTTAAAGACAGGAAAAGAAACAAAACCAGGTAATTTATTTCAGTGAGTGATTAGGAAAACACATTTTCTTTTCAGAGCACATGTCTGCAGACAAATGACTCAGGCACAGTTAAAGCCAGGACCCAGGCAGGAGGCACAAGCATCCATCCCCAGCAGACCCTGCCACAGTGCTGCTCCCAGCACTGCATTTCTCCAGTACACAACCAACGTGGGAAGGGGAAGCAACACCATATCTTGGTGTTCAGATTTGACCAGCAGCTGCAGTGAGAAGGCAGCTGTCCAATGGAGAACTCAGTTTAGCCTCAAATAATCTCATATCCAAACCAGCCTGCTCTCCCATTTCAGAGATTTTCTTTTATAATTCTCAGGAAATTGACTGAAATAGTTTCCTCACTGGTTAATGTCAGTGAGTCAGCCTGCTGGCACCGAGCTGTTAATTAACCCAGCCCTTCTGCAGGAACCCGGAAAAGTGTTTCTTCATAATACAAAGGGGAGTAAAATAAATAATACTAAACCAGTCCTGACTGATCTTTGGACTCTGCCAGCTTAACATTCAGAGGAGCCTGTCAAACATATTTCAGCCAGTCAAAGAGATGCTGTGCTCCTCCAAGCAGTTCAGACTTACACAAAGATGTGCCAAACCTGGCCATGCTATTCCCTCTTTCCATTGCACAAGAACCATTCATGCAGTCACTTAGTAAGAAACAGGGAGCTCCACTTACCCAAGGATGTGGACCTTGCCAGACCCTGCAGAGGAGGTAAAGCAACATAAAATTACTGACTACTTACCTTCAGGTGGTTTCTGGTGAACTTTCACAAAATCTGCACCACATAAGTGATTGAGTTTCTCTTTGGTTCCATCATTATATATGTGAATTAGCACCTCTTGTGGAAAGTAGGGCTTCATTTCTGATAGTTTCAGGGCTCCTATTCCATTGGCACAGTCAATCTTCAGGTGCCTTTGATACTCTCCAGAGCAGTGAGACTTAGTGTAAGGGAAGAAGGGGCAAAGTGAACTGTTACCCTAGAGAAACCATACCTAGAGCATGCTGAATTAGAAACTTCAGGCCCAAACAGGCTAACAAACGGAAGAGATTAATTTTGTACATTTGCATGAGGAAGACAATACCTACTATTCACCTGTTTTATCAGTTCCATAAAAGCTTTGGACAGTTTTTCATAATAACCTTCCAATGTTGCTTTCCCATACTGCCCTTGGGTGTTTTGACAGCAGACCATGTAGTGGAGCTGTGGTGTTGTCACCAGACCATAATCTGGTGTGAAATAAAAGGAACAATATTCAGAATAGAATTTTAAATTAACTGTTGCTTAAAAGTTTTACAGTAAACAGACAAATGCAGGAAACACCTATGGAATTTTTCAAGTTATCTTATGAAAACATAACCCTCCCCTGCCCTGCCTTGCATTAAAGCCATACAACCACCCTGAAATAAAACTATTAAAAGCAAGGATGGAAATGTGTCTGGGCCATTGCCTTAGGGCTGCATAAAGGAGTCACGTTTACATAAAAATACTTTAAATGATTATAATTGCAAAGTGTAACCTACCATGGTACTGACCACCTAGAACCTGGATACCATCTATAACTGACTGGGACAGCTTCTCGCTGCTTGGCCTGGAAAACAACAAGTACATCTGATAACCCTAGCAAAGGCATTTATCTATGGACTTGGGAAGGAAGCACATGTGGAAGATTCTACAAGCTTCCTGCCACAAGATTTAGACTCACTGTGAAGAAATCCAAACCTTTCTCTGTTGTAGATAATTCCCAATAAATCTGAAAGCCAACACCCCCAGGGACTGCAAACACATGTGAAGTGCTGGACACAGGTGGACACCACACAGTACCCACACAATTCCCCTGAAGACAGCACTCTCCATGAGAGCAGGACATATCTACAGCCTTCTGTCATTACCTGGTGTCTCTACCAATAAAAACCGAGGCATCTTTGTGCAGGTTCACTGCTGCCTTTTGGCAGATCTCAGTTATCACCTTCTGTAATTCCTGCTCCTCTGCATTTGCTAGTTGTGTGGCATACTCTTCCCAGGAAGGGTGCAGCATTTCTCCAAGAGGATCAACCAGCTTTACACCATTGTCTTCCTTAGCAGAAAAATGAAAGAACAAAAAATAGTAAGTCTAAAAGTGGGGAACTAATCAAACCTCTTTGAAGACAGACAACACATGGTTCAGTCACATTGCTTCTTTAAAAGTGCAGAACTTCTGGGACGCAATAGCTTAGCTGTTTATTTAAACCACCACAAGCCTCTAAAGAAGCACTATAACAAGCACATGGAGTAACCAACTCTTTCTCCCTTATAATTTTGGTATGAAATTGATTCGACATTAAAATTACATAAGAGAAGATTCTAATAACCTTCAGTGCTCCACTTTTAGCAGAAAAACTCTAAATGCCTGATTTGTAACTGCTGCATTTTCATGTTTATTTTTAAAAGTTACAGATTTTACTCAAAGGTTCTTCTCTTCTCAAGGCTACTCCTAGCTTCCCACCATTAGAAAGTTACATTGCAACATTAAATGTTTCTGTGTTACACAGAGGAAAAACCCCACTTCTGTGTACAGGGGAAAAATAACTTCAGATAGACCAGAGATCGTATTTACAGGGAGCAGGCTGAATGCTTTAAGCAGGTCCAAATGTCTTCAGGATCTGGTCTCTCACTGCTGTGATGAGCTTTGATGCCAACAAACTGATCACATCTTTCCACCCTTCTACCAAAACACTGCACATCATTCCACCGAACCGGTCGCATGTTTAAGGAGAGGTCAGTTCTTACTTCGGGGTTGTGAGAGGCTGTAACCATGATGCCAATGGTCGCTGTCACGGCTTTGGACCTGAGCCCTGCCAGGAGGCCCATGCGGAACACGACGTGATCCAGCTGCTCGGCCTTGCTGCGGAACCCAGCGGTGCCATACTGCAGGGTCAGCCCGGCGGGCCTGGGGTGCAGCGCCGAGTACTTCCTAAGGGCTTCGGAATCCATCCCTAGGGAAGGAAGCAACACAGATGCGAGTGAGGAGACGAGTCGCTGGGACCAGTTTCACGTTCCGGAGGCTGCGTGCCCTGAAGCGCTGCCATCAATCCCCTGGCGGGACCGCAGCGGGGAGCAGCACCAGGAAAGGAGTCTCTACACTCCCTGGAGAGCCCCGGATAAACACCGTGATCAGATATAAGCAGATCACGCAGGGACGAGGCGAGGAGAGCCAGGATTCCCGGTCGGCTGGATCCAGGGATCCGAACAAGTTCCCGTGGATCTTCCCGTTTCTCACCGTGACATCAGGCGCCCAGAGCGCTCGGCCGCGGCTCCACACACGGATTTCCGAGCCCAAAGCAGCGTGTCCTGCCTGACAAGCGCTTGCGGGGAAGCCCCCAGCGGTGTCCCCGGGCTGTTGCCCCCGGCGGCGGCTCCGTGCGCAGCGGCACCCGGACACCAGGCCGGGCGGGCGGGGCAGCCGGACACGCGCCCGCTGCACGGCTGCTTCCCTCGGGACCCCCGGCGATGCCGCGTGGACGGCCCGGCTGGGACGGGACGGGATGGTACCGGAGGGGATGGCTGGGATGGTACCGGAGGGGATGGCTGGGATGGGCGCGGCGCGATCCCGCCGGAGCCGCCGCCGCGCCCCGCACGGAGCCGGCGCGGCCCCGCCCACCCGCGGCGGAACCGACCAATGGCTGGCGGGTGGGCGGGGCCGCGCCCGCCGCGTGGCACTGGGGCCGCGCCCCCGCCCGGAGCGCGGCCGCGCAGGCGCCGCCCGGAGCGGCCCCGGAGCGGCCCCGAGCGGCGGCGGCAGCGCCGGGCCGGGCCGAGCCGAGCGGAGCCGGGCCGGGCCGGGCCGAGGCGAGCCGGGCCGGGCCGAGCCGAGCCGAGCCGGGCCAGGCCAAGCCGAACCGGGCCGGGCCGAGCCGAGCGGAGCCGGGCCGGGCCGGGCCGAGCCGAGCCGGGCCGGGCCAAGCCGAACCGAGCCGAGCCGGGCCGGGCCGACCGGAGCCGAGCCGAGCCGTGCCAGCCGGCCTCGCACAGCTTCAGCGACAGCGCTCTCGGGTCACAAAGCTGCCCCTCAGCGCGCTCCTTTTGGCTGGGGAGGCGTTAATTTTCAAATTTCTTCACCGCGGCTGGTACGGGGCTGTGTTTTGATTTGTGCTGAACACAGTGATGATGATGTGAAGATGTTTTTATTATTGCTGGGCAGGGCTTACACAGAACCAAGGCCTTTTCTGATTTCTGCGCTGCCAGGCTGGGGAGGGCCCTGGGGGAGCTTGGGAGGAGACACAGCCCAGACAGTGACCCCAAGTGACCAAAGGGACATTCCAGACCATGGAACACCATGCTCGGTAGATAAGGCAGGGGAAGAAGGAGGAAGGGGAGGACGTTTGCAGTGATGGTGTCTTCCTGAGTCCCTGCTGGGTGTGATGGGGCCCTGCTCTCCTGGGGATGGCTGAACACCCACCTGCCCATGGGAAGCAGTGAATTCATTCCTTGCTTTGCTTGTGTGCGCGGCTTCTGCTTTCCCCGTGGAACTGTCTTTGCTTCAGCCCGCGTATTTTCTGCCTTTTACCCCTGCGATTCTCCCGATCCTTCGGGTGGGGAGGCGGCTGTGTGGGCTTGGCTGCCGGCTGGGGCCGGACCACGACAGCCGGCCAACGCCGGGTGTATCTGCTGATAAATGATAACACAAACAATGCATCTCTGCCCGCGCACATTCCCGCAGGACTCCATGCCCTGCTCTCGTCCATGCCCGAGCCGGTGCGGGCTGGGAGGGCGCGGCTGCTGAGGCCGTGTCCAGCCGTGTTGGACCAGTGCTGCCCCTAGAGAATCGTGGCTCTTCCCTGGGGGCTGAGCCTCGCCGTGTGCTGCACCGCGGGCTTTGACTCCAGTCCTCTCCCTCCAGGCGGGCGTGCAGGGCAGTGCAATGGCTGTCACGGCAAAAGAATGCCTGGAGCTCCAGCTGCTGGAAGTGGAAATGCTCCTTTCGATGTTTCCCAAAAGCGGAGAATTCAGTCTGGATGCGGATGCCGTGCCCAGCATCCAGCGCTACCTGGAGAATGCTGACGGAGCCCTGCCCCCGCAGCTGGAATATCGAATCGCTGTCGATGTAGGGGAGGCGAAGGTGAGAGCTGCCAAGGAGGCTTATTGATGGGTGATGTTCTCTTTACTCCTTCTGTACACACTTGAAAAGGCTGCCCGGAAAAAAAGGGGTAAAAAAGCCACCACATTTTTGTTTGTTCTTTGAAAAGTCAAGAGTAACAGGAAATCTCAGCTGGTGCTAACATCTGTGTTAGAAATACGATAATTAAAAAATTAAATAGCCCCAATAGCAGAATGCAATTACAAGGAGTCACAAGAACACAAAATCAAAACCAGCCTATGAGCAGAGAAACCAATCTCTCAGTAGTTGCAACAGTTTAACTGATTGAAGAAAGGGACTGAACTAATTGATGTAAATACTTGCAGAGAGAACACAGGTCTGAGTGCATACTTATGCAGTGACTGAGAACAAACTCAGCCTAAAAGCCATTTTTTCATGGAACAAAGGTAATCAAACATTAGAACAATTTACTGGGTAATGAGATGGCCTTATGATTTTTTTCAAACTTTAGTTACAAGCTTAGTTGTCTTTCTAAAATGCATCTTTTCACCAGCCTACAGAGAGAAGTTTTGTGAGCCACTTAGGGAGGGCTTCTGTAGGAGTAGTGGGTTTTTTTCTGTAGCAGATTGTCAAGGAACTTGGAAAGATAATTAGTCATTTCATGATTCACTTCTCTCTACAGGACTATCATATGATTGAACACTGTAGTGAGTATCCCCTAATAGTCTACAGGAGCTTGAAGCACTGAGGGCACACAAATCCTTTCCTGCTCTTGGACAAGAGGCAGGGTTCATCTGCCAAAGAACTGTGGTGGTCCATTTGAAGGCACTGTAGGAATAATCAAGGGAGATTCAACAGTCCAATATTCATAAGAGATCAAATAAGATAATCTTGTGGTCTCCCTGACCTGAAATGGACATAAATCTTTTCATCCCCTATAATCCTGATTCCTTTTTACGGTGAATACTTGCTTAAAATAAAGGTAACACACAGAATCATAGAATGGTTTGGGTTGGGAGCATCCTTCAAGATTAAGTATCTCCAACACTCCTGCCAGTGTCTCTATATACAGTAGGTACAATCACAAATGCTATTCCATGTAACTCCTGGCCTTTTTTCCAGCAGCTGGGCTGAGTTCATTACTCATGTGCATTTGGTAAGGGATGAGATTCTCGAAAGCCCTTGACTCCAACAGTTCATTGCTGTAGCAACACTGAGCTAGAAGTATTCCTCCAGGGTAACTGAATACCTTTTCCTAGGCCGTAGCATTAGTTCTGTGAACAGCACACAAGCTGCCTGGATAACATGGGAAGTGCTGTTAAAGTGACAGCATTATGCATGAACAGACAAAAGAACAGTTATTGGGGCAAAAGGGAAGTGGAAATAGTTCCAGTCAGTAGGATTCTGCCATCTTGATTACATCTCCTCATAATCTGCCTCTGTCAGGGAAGAAGAATCTAGCATGTCTTCAGTAGCTGCAGGATTAATTTTCTGTTTGTCTTCTGTTTTTAAGGTAAAGGTGGAATTGCAGGTTCTCCTTCCTCATATGTACCCGCAGGTGGCTCCTCAGCTTTTTGCCAGATCAGATGCTCTGCACAGACAGCAGCAGTTGCAGCTCAATACTCGTCTGGCGTCTCACATCGGCTCTCTGGAGTCAGGAGATCTGTGTGTATGTGAGGCTGTGCAGTGGGTGAAGGACAACACCCTGCCTTTCTTGGAAAACTGTAAGGCCTCCTCTGAGTGTGCTCCTAAAGAAGTCAGAGTTAAGGAAATGCTGCATCGCATGTGGATCTACAGCCATCACATATACAGGCAGGAACTGAGGAAAAAGATTTTTGACTGTGCAAAGAAGTTAAATCTGACTGGCTTCTGCCTAACTGGGAAACCTGGTATCATCTGTGTGGAGGGACTCCAAGAAAACTGTGAAGAGTTCTGGCGTATTATTAGATATCCCAACTGGAAGCATATTTCATGCAAGCATGTGGAGAATATAGAAACGGAGGGAAGCATTGATAATCTTCGTCTCTTTCACAGTTTTGAAGACCTGCAGTTTCAGGCACATGGTGATTATGGCCTGAGGAATGACTATCATATGGATCTTGGTCAGTTTCTAGAATTCCTGAAACAGCATCAAAGTGGACACATTTTTCAGATTTTATTTGGTGTTGAAGGCAAACTTTCAGACAATTGAGAGAAACTGTTTATGAAGAAAACTAATTCTGGAGAGCAAGAGGTGTTGGTAACATTGAAACTTTAAAGGGAATCTTTAACATCTGAGATGAATGATTCAAGTAGTTAATCTCAGCTTTTGTGCTGAACTGCCATGTATTTTTGAGATGTCTTCACTGATTTTCTAAGTATCTAAAACTGGCATTTGTTTCTATGAGCCATGCCTCAAAGCACTTGCAAGGTGATAAACATTCCAGTGTTAGGAATTATTCACTTCTGTCTGTTCATCTGTACTGTGCTGTGTGAATTTCTTCCCATCTCATCTAAAGCTATTCTCTTGCAGTTTAAAACATCTCCCCCTTGTGCTGTCACTGCATGCACTTGTAAAAAAGTACCTTTCCAGCCTTGTAGGCTCCCTTTAGGTACTGGAAAGTACTATAAGGTCTTGCTAAAGCCTTCTCTTCTCCAGGCTGAAAAATTCCAATTCTCTCAGCCAGCTGTCATAGGAGAGATGCTCCAGCCTTCTTACCATTTTTTGTGGCCCTCCTCTGGACTTGCTCCAGGCA